CCCAGTGCATTTCATTGTTGAATAGGTGGTCTGAGGGTGTGATTTCTCCAGCCAAAATCTAATAATCTAACCCAGGAGTAGATATCTTGTGGCCTACAGATGTTTTGGCCTACAGATCCATGTTCCATCATTAGCTATGCTTGCTAAAGCTAATAAAAGCTGCCAGTCAAACAACTAGGGGACCACAAGTTGCCCACCCTTATTAAAAACTGCCATGCTGGATTGGGTCAGTGGTCTATTTGGCTCATTATTCCATGACCAAGCAATAGTGGCTCACAGGCCTCAGGAAGTTTAACAAGCGAGGCAAGAAAAACTTGCCTGTCTAGTTGTTCTCCAACATTGGGTAGTCAGAGATAACTTATCTGTAAATATGGAGGCTGCACTTACAACCATGTTGGCCAGTCACCATTGGTACAACTATCCTCTGTATAATCATTTAATCATGGTTAAGAGAAGAGCAATGTCTGGCTTTAACTATCACAACTTCCTGAGGAAGTGAGTTTCCCAGATTAACTGCAAATAACACTAAAATGTTCCACTGTTGTCTGATTGCTTGCTGCTTATATATTCCATGGCTACTGTGGGTGTGTGGCAGGTTCTCTATTCATTCTTTCCCATCTTCTTCTGCACTTCTGTTGTATCTTCCACCTCAGTTGTATTTTTTTCCTACAAGGATTTCATGACTTCAGTTGCACCCTCAGTTATCATCATCATAATGACCCCTTTTGACCACATTACATACAGATCTGATTCCTCCTGGTCCACATGAAGCTTTATTCTGGCCAAATTTGCCTTGGAATGCCACCAAAAAATAATGTGGATATCACAGCAGTTATGCTAATGACAGGGTCTGGACTTCCATAAAGACTCTGGCTGTTTTTTTCAGCAGTTGGAGGGTCAACTTTCTAATTACATCAGGAATTGGTGTTAATTTAGAATTTGTCCTGCCCCCCACCACCCCCAGTGCTACAAGTCAAGACTGTTAACTTGTTCTAGTGATTCCTCTCCCCTTAAAAGGAAAGAAGGGAAGGAAGGAGAAACGGGATTTATCAACAAACCTGGAAGTAAACTGGTTGGGAAAAAGAACAGCCTGAACAATTAATTGCCTTTCTGCAGCCCGGGGATTCTCAATGCTTAATTGCTAGATAAAAAGCTCCGGACCTTATTGTTGACCTGGAAGCCATGCTGAGAAGATTGATGGACTCCAGAGAGCAAATGAGTTGGGCTTCCCTCTTCTTTTCTTCTTCTGTTGTGGCCTGCTTTCAGCTTTCCTAAGAAGTTTACTTGCAGAATTCCAGGTTTTTCCAGCATCCTTCCACTCACCCCAGTCATTAAGGTAGCTGTATAAAGAGCTACCAGCTCTTTACAGTCCTCAGATGCCCAATTAGCATGTTCTGCAGTGAATTTTCTCCCGGGAACTCCCATGGTAGATTTTCTTCCAAACCCTCATCTCCTCTGAACCTCTAGCTAGCCAATAATTTTGGGACTGGCAGGATATTGACACTGACCATATTCCCTGTATCTGAGATGTAACACTGGCTTGAAGCTGGGCATTGCTCTTCCTATCCAACTGCCCACAAAACCTCCAGTAGAGAGCTCTTACTGATGGCTGCCCTCAGTCACTGGAGCAGAAATGTACTCTGCACATGCTTAGGCACTCTCATCTTCAAATTCCTCTTGGAAAAGAAAGAAGATTCTGAGGAAGACCTGGGGAAGCCTCTAGTCGAACAAAGCCTGAGAGTATGTCAGGACAGGATATTAAAATTGAGATTTCCTGAAGGGCTCGTGTGGGGCCCAACATAATTTCTGAGATATCAAAGGTCACTGGTTGGATCGTCATCACCCACGCTGGCCCGGTTTTACTCTTTGCCAATGCACAGCCTGCGAGCTTCCAAATGTGTTCTCAATAAAGTAAGTGTGGGGGAAAATAAACGAAAACAGCAAATGCCGGGGATGGGCGGACTTGGCAGCTTTCACACTTCAGCATGTGCTCCACCATGACCTCATTGCTGGATCATTAGCCTGTCCCAATCCACCACCTTGATTTCGTTACAGCAAAAATTAAGAGGAGAAAAAGAAAACAAGCACAAGGGAGGGGACAAGCAAGTCTGAAGTTCAGCTTTACAGCCTTTTTATGCAATCTTGCTGAAATTTTTCATGGCTTTTTCAATCTGAGGCTGTATGTAATCTGAAACCTAGCACACAGGAAAGATTGCAGGGTGATGTTGCTGGTATGTTGATCAAAAGACAGGAGCTATAAAGAAGAGCCTCGTTTTGTTGGTGTCTTAAGCTTTCAACATCCACAGAGCAGCACTTCATCCAGTTTGATGACACACAAAAGGCTGTACTCCACATGAAGCTGACCCAGCAAAGGACACACTTTTCATCCTGAGCAAACTAATACATTTCGGCTGGGTTCAGATAACACAACAAGACATGCTGGTTTTCTACCATTGTTGATCCATCCTGTTGTCTTAACCTAGTCATGAAATTTTGCTGTGGTAAATTTGGTCTTTAGAAATTGTGATAAGAAACCATATTTATTTACATATTTATGTATTTATTAGATTTCTACCCCTCCCATTAGCCAGAATGGTCCTCTGGGCAGTTTAAAAAAATACAGTAACAACATACACAGTAAAACAGTGATATTAAATCTAACAAGCATACGTACAACAGTAAAATAACAAATGCAGTAAAAACCTCATAATAAAACTCCACAGCAGCCACAATTCAATTAAATCAAGGGCACAGTTTGTTCTATGGTTTCTCTGTACCATCGTAGCTTGTCATGCTGTCTAACCCAGGATTGTGTTTCCCACAGTCCTGATACACAACCACCACAGAGCCCTCTGGAACGAGAGGTCACTTCAGGAGCTGTTCCAGCCCTCCAGCCACTATGAGTAGACCAATGGGGATGAGGCAGGTGACATAAGCAGGAAGTGGTGCATCTTGGGATTGAATTTCAGGCACAGTGGCTGATGAGATACATGCCAACAGTGGGAGTATTGAGCAGGGAGGATGGAAATTACAGCAAATTAGAACCACTGTCAGGGAGATCATGGTAACAAACTATGGACCATCGTAGCCACACAGGTTGCTTGTCGTGTTGTGTAAACATAACCATTACTTGTACATCCATGAACACACCTACCATCTCAAGTCTACCTGTTCCTTTGTATGGAATCCCATCTAAGATGTGATATCAATGATGGGAGTGGGAGTCACACAGGAGATGGATGGGCTTTGCAAAATGGTTCAACATTCACTTCACTCCTGGGGCACCATGGAAATGACAATCCAAAAATCCAAGACAGATCTTACCGAAGACCAAGTTTCCACTTTGCTATAGTAGCATTACCAGAACAAAATTTGTTGGTATGTTGGTGGAATGTGGATCCCGGTATCCACACTGCAGTGATTTTTTTGGTTTATTTTCTATTTATTTGCAGGTTTTGATATGATACACCTTTTTGCATTGCCTTTCATTAAAATAATACTAAATGATAAATGAAAGACATGTGAATTGTATATGGGGAGTATAGCTAGCCCAGATCAGTGAGGATGGACAACGAAGAGATAGGAAAAAACACAAAAGCGCATGGAAGGGCAGGGAATAGGAGATTTGCAAGTGTGGTCCGACAGCCAAATTTAGTACTAAATGGCCCCAGTTTTCCACAAGGGAGCTATAATCAGAGCCACACCAATGCTACACCCATGAGCATATAAAATTACCCCCACCCTCTGCAGTACATACATCTTCCTCCCTTTTTTCCTCACTCTGTGCAGACACCCATCATCTCTTCAGACAAAACCACTGACTGCTGAATTCTGGAAGGCAGTCTTGCTCCAGAAGGTTTTACTCATGTGGAAGATGCCTCCCCTGCTGTCAGCAAAAGGTCTCCTGGGCTATCTTCACGACTGCCTCCAGCATTCTCTCCTTTCACTCTTCTCACTTCCAAACTGAGTAGGGACAGTGTATTTTGTTTATTATAAAGAATAATGCTTTCATTCAAGAGTCTAACTATGGGGATGAGGTACCCAGGAATGCTACAGAATCTATTCCTAGCACTTTTTAAGGAAAAAACGAATGCAGACATCTTATCAGAGAAGGCTTAAAGTGCAGGATATGTACAAAACTCTGTTAAGTACAGTATTCTGCTTTGGAGCAGTGTCTCCAAAGACCTCTTCAACTTTCTTACATGGTTGAGCCTTTATCAGCAATTTGAACTGCTCAGTTTGAGAATCACTTTAACCTCCATGCTATGAATGGGCATGTGCAAATGCTGATCAGACCACTGCTAAAGGCACAGGTGCAGATAAACAGAACAGAAAGAAGCATATAATTTAAAAAGGCACAGCTGCAGAGGCCGGAGGAAAAGTTGGCAATTCCTTCTCCACTCTACAGATGCATGCTGCGCTACATGTGTATCTCAGTGTATAGATTTCTCACACAGAGCCCAAATTCTTTTCTGCCTCCCCACATCAGCAGCTAATAATGCATTGAAAAGGAGAGAGTGGCCACGAGCAGGCTTCTGAATCCTGCACCACCTGTCCACAGCTGGAAGGTACAAAACCTTGCTGCTGGCACTCCACTGACGAAGTGTGCAAGGCATTTTTCCTCTCTATTGATTTTAATTCATTAAAATTCACTCCCCCCTTTCATCCAGGCGCAGCTCACGCTTGGATTACCAAGCACATAGACAATGTGCCATTGATCTGCACCAGTCACAGAATTCTCCGTCTACAATCAAACACCTCTTACGGTCTACTCCCCACACGTTCCAGGAAGCATCAAAGAGGTGTAGCAGCCTGCCTGCAAAAAGCCATGCCCTTTCCCAGATATGACCTTGTCCTTCTTCGTTACAGGAGCCTCTTTTTAATTTGTGCTGTGTCCATAACCCCTGCACCGCATTTACCATAGCACCTGCCCAATGGGAATTATATGTAGTTGGCATTATTTTCACCGAGTGGGTGAATTTAAAACCCAAATTGCAATTCCGGCTGAGGAAGGTCATTTGTACTGGAACACAAGCAAAGACCTGTGCCAAGTTACACAAGACAGGAGAGCAGCCTGATTTAATCTCTCCCTCTCCCTCACACACACACAATTTCTTTTTAAATACATTTTAAATTTTAGTTTGATCTTTAAAATTAAATTTTCCAGAGAAAAGAAAAGGAATCTACTAAGCAACCATGGTTTGTCAACATTTCCTCTTCCATATATTAGCAAAAATGGGTTACCAATCACTACAATGCCTTGATTATTCAAATTTTTTTAAATCCATGCCCATTTTTGTTCAAATGAGACCTCTCCCCCATCTAGCTCTGATAATCCTGGTTAATATATTTAAAATGGCATAATCCCATAATCCCATTCCATTCTCCACTTTCCAGAATTTGATATGATTTCCAATACTTTGTATATGCTACTCTAGCTCCAACAATCACATGATAATGGATTGTTTCCTTAACTTTCTTTATCAAACCTTTAAAGTTCCTTAACTTAAAAAAAAAAACCCTTTAACATCAAAAGGTAATTTACCCCTAAGAATCTTTCCTTTTTTTCAATCTTTTGCACCCATTGGCTTTACAGTAAAAGGGCAAATGGCCCCTTCAGGAGGGGGTCCTTTGCATCAAGAAAATGCCATTGTGAGAAGGGGTTCAATTCATGTGTGTCAACAGTATTTACCCTGCTTCTCAACATAAGCTTTCTCTGGTAGTAAAAATCCAAGAGTGCTCCTAGCAGCCCTACATAATAGGTTTGGCAAAGGGATGGTTACTGGCCTAAGGTCAAGCAGTGAGCTTCATGGCGGAGCAGGGATTTGAATCCAGACTTGTCTGATCCAAGCCTAACACGCTATATCCCACTGGTCACTTCCGGAAGTGCCACAGTCCCAATTAAATTACCTCCTGCCATGTGGCTGTTTGTTTGTTTTCAGTGTCACAGAGCCCTCCAAGATCTAGTCTACGTTGCCCTTTAGGAATGGAAGGTCAGAGGCCTGAGCCAAATACCTATGAAATGAAATGTGGCAAGATGCTTGATCTCTATGCAACTTTATTCTGTAAGCTTATGAGAAGAAGTTTGGCATTCTTGACAAAGAAATAAAACTGTGCTTGTGCTACACACCGGAGGAAATAAAGGAAAAGTTCAGGAACAATCAGTGGTGAAGTGAGGTAATTTTAGACCCTAAACTTTGGATGCCTGCTGAAGCGGAGGAAGGCTTACAACTCTGCCCCCCCCCCCGCCCCCTTGCTCATTCTGCCAAATCGACTGTGAGCTTCTGCCCCAAAGTCTTACCCTGACCTATCAATGCAAACTGTGCTATGCATGGCAAGATGTGCAAAGGCTTGCATGACCTGACCTCTCCTCCATTCATTGGTCCAATCTGCTTTTAAAGTCATCTAAACTGGTGGCCAAACAACATCTTGTGGAAGTGAATGGGCACAGTTTAACAATGCACTTGGGAAAAAGTTTCTTGTTTTATCTGTCCTGGATCTCTCACTTTCAGGCTTCGAGGGATAACAGCTGCTGTGGCATTGACTCTATTTCCTTACTACTGTGCACTTTCAAGAAAGAGAAAATGGAGAAATGGGGGGAGGGCAGTTAGAACAGGCCTGGCAGGGGGGCTGCTAGTAACCACTGTCTGTCCAACATAATCTTCATGTGACTTTAAAAGGAAAATAACCCTTACTTGAGTCAGGAAGCCTTCTGTCCAAACAAAACATTTAGGGGGTGTTAGATGTTACTTCTGGAAACTCACCACAATCTGTGTTTCATTATCTGTCAAAGTATCAATAGCCAAGCTTTTTCCAATGAGGTCCTGGCTAATCCGGGTCCCTTTGTCTTCTAGTGAGGTTTCTCGTGCATTTCGCTTCCAGGATTGAGGTTCTGCCCCTACCACTGATGCATGTTCCTTGGTCCAACCTGTCAGAAGAGAATACGTTTATTTCCTTAGTTCAGGAGGGCCATTTAAGGCGATCTTACATGACTCCATTTGTTCATTTTATATATTTATATATGTATGTATGTATTTAATTAATTTTTATCCCACCACCCCAGGTGGCTAACAACAAAATCCAGATTTTAAAAATCTTAATTGAGATGTCTCCATAGCAAGATGTATTCATACCCACTGAGAGCCAGCACGGCAGCTGAAATTCAGCAGCAAAGGCACAGTTTTTTGCTGGCAAGAGGCAGCATGGCCTGCTCCAGTTGCTGGGGGTGTATGTTGCCCATCTGTATGTTGCTGTAGGACACAGAAATGTTTACACTAGAGTTCAGCTTTTTCCTTCTTTTCCCACTTTCTGGAAAAGGTAAGATCGGAAATGGTACGCATTGGGAAAATGACAGACAGGGCATCAGCAAAGAAGAGAACACCTGCTAATGTATAAGTATAGATGCAAATCTAGAAATAATTAGTATGATAAAAAAGAAATACAATACACCTTGACATAATGGAAAAGGCTGTGATCAGGTGACACCTGTCCCTCGCTCAGCTTGCTGTCCAGGAGCTAACTGTTGAAAAGGCCATTTCAAGGCCCGGCCATTCTTTCTGATGGTTCTGTGTCTCTAAACCGGACTTGGTTTGGACAGTTCTTCAGAAAGGGAACCTTTAAACAAAGGACTGTCCAAACAAAGGACTGTCCCATGGTAGTCCTTTGTGTGTCAGACTAGCACCAGGGACCATTTCAAATCTCCATTCATTCATGAAGCACACTGGTGACCTTAGACCAGTCACACTCTCTTAGCCTGGCCTGCATCACAGAGTGGATGGGATAATAAAAAGAAGAGATCTGATATCGACAACCCTAAGCTCTTTGGGGAAAGGATGTTTTTGTTTGTTTTCAAAGTTATAAATAAATTCTTGCGAGCTCACTTCAAACTTCACGTGCACATCAGTTGTTTCATCTTTGTGCCAGAGGGATTCCTGTGGTACTTTGATTTGAATCAGGAAGTTTACTTGCCTTGCCCAAAATTCAACCTTCCCTCCCTAGCGGAACTTGAACCAATGCCATATAACCACTACATGGTTATTCTGGGCTTCCTCTCCAGAACCACTGGTGCTTCTAACAGAAGGACAGCCATGGTGCTTGCACACACATTCACACACATATAATTCATCCTCCTTCCCCATTTAGCCTGTGGCTTGCAGGAGTGGCCTGGAAATCGGTTGTTTTCCACTGATGAAGTTCAGCAAACTCTAGTGCAGTATCAGTGATGGAAATGAGCTTTGGACACTTTTCTGTGTTTTGTGAGGGGAAAACAAACACAATGAAAAAGAGTGGATTAAAGTGGGCTTAATGGTTTTAAAAAGCACAAGATGCCTGAACTGTGGCCGGATTTTACAAGGCCAGTAAATGTGGAAAAGACCCCAGAGTTCCCCAACATTGAGTTTCACAGAGGTCTTACTGAGCCGCAGGTTTTCAAAGCAAAATGTGAACAAATATATTTTCATGTATATATGACGTTCTATTGTTCAGCTCAATGTTATCTCTGTGAAACTGAAAGCAAAGAAGTACACGAATTTAAACAGGGATTATGGTAATTGGATTACAAGTTGCCAGGCCTGGTGTAGCATCATGTGATGCATGCAGCTCCCCTGGCTCACACACACACACAACTGTAAAAATAATTCTAAACAGATTCTGGTAAATCAAATAATATTTCACATATTTAGAACATTTGATTCGTCTCATTTTCTATTTATTGTTTACATTTGCATCCTGCCATGCTCCAGGGAAACAGAAGCACATTTTCGGTTGTGCATACACCTGCAGGTCCACCCAGATGGGCACCATCTTATTCCCGGCCTCTGCCCTCAACAATGCTTGGCATTAAGGAAGGCTAGGAAGCATCAACTGCCTGAAGGTTACTCACTAAGATCCACAGCTGAGCAGAGATCTGAACCCAAATATCTCCAGTCTTTGCCTAAAAGTGTCATCCCATGCTTGTTTAGACAGCAAAAAAAAAAAAAACAAAACAAAAAACCCCACACACCCTACAACTCTTAGCATGCTCTCAGCATAGGATTGGACCTTAAAACACTCTAACCTGTATACCACATATGTTGCAATTTTTGACAATATTTGATCATCTTAAAGAGGTAGATAAAGGTGGACACTGAGCTTTTAATAGGACTGGGTTAACCAGTATATGAAACACAGCACAGAAAGCGTGAGGTGCTGTAGTCTAGCAGGCCAAAGTCTGCCTGACTGGCTCCCAGGTTGGCATGGCCTAGTTCCCCTGCTGGCCCCGCCTCTTTGCCCAAAACTGTGGATTGGCAGAACCCCAGCTTTTGCATCCTTTCCCACCCCACTATGCTACAGGGGAGAAATACTTCTCCTAAGTGCTTGTGACTGGCAGGAAGAACGTCAAGCTTATATAAAAATTTTGATCCTACCCTTCGAATGAGTCATCTTGGTCCAGTCCTGGTCTGGGTTAAAGATAAAGAACCATGAGAAGGGAGAGCAGCCAAGGGCCTTGAAGTTGGTAATCAACAGTTTGCATCTGGACTGCAAGCTGAGCAGGCAACCAAATGCACCACATGACCAGCGTCTTCTCCGCTATGGTGAATGTATTGCATTTCAGTTATGTTATATTCGTTGTTTCATGACGTGCATCTAGACCTATAGACTAGCACACGCAAAGTGCTCAAGCAGCACATTGGAGGGGCTGAGAGTAGGGGGGGAAATTTAATAAATTCCTTTTTAAAGAATTGCCACACATGTGCTTCTTTAAATGTGCACAGCTCCACAAGTGCAGCAGTTAGAAGCCTCAGACAGGGCAAGTGGGGGGGGGGGGGTGTTTACACCCTTTCACGGCAAGACCCTCCTGGGTTTTTTGCATTATGCTGCCCTAAGGGTGAGCTTACATTACCAGTTGTTTCTAAGACTCTGTGTGCTCAGGAACATGGAAAAGTGGAAGCCAATCCCTTTCAAATGGAACCAGCATTTTGAGAGCCAGCTGTCAAAACTCCAGTTCCCTTTAAAAGGGGTTTCTTGACAGAGAGCGATGCATTCATGCTTGCCCAGCCTAGAGAAAAAGAAAAGCGCTTTAAAAGGAGTGAGAGTTTTGACAGCTAGCTTTCAGAACTGACGGCTCCTCTTCAAAGGAGGTGGCTTGCACTTTTCCAGAGGGAAGAAAGAGCCCACTGGGAACCTTTTGGGGTCAATGTCCAGGTTTGGTACCTGCCTTACTCTAACAGTTCATACCTCCTCGGATATTGACCCTGCCAAGCCTTCCAATGGCCACACTCACAGAACTGTGCATCTATAGTTGCCAAAGCATTACTCATGATATGCCCTATCCTCCCTCAGGGAGTCTCATTGTGGGTTGTTTGTGCAACAATCCACCCACCATGGCTTACTGTAGGCAAATACACCCTTGTTTTTCAGTTTCCTGCTCACCATTGCCTGTAGCTGTATACTGCATGGACTGTTCTCAGTAAGCTTCATTTATTATACTTGTTGCTGTCAGCATTGCATCCTCTCCTCTTTATGGTTTGCTTCAGGGTAGTTGCAATTCATATGTGAAAAAGAGGAAGTGTTGGTCTATCATTCTTGCCATCTTTTGAGGCCCCTTAAGTTGACAGGGACTCCCTTGGCAGTCCGGGAAGGCAGGTGCACCTGCACGGCAAGGGATAGTTCAGTTTGCTCCACAGGAGAAGGGAGATTCCTCTCAGATTCTGTTTTCTGCAGCAACTTCCCATTCAAAAAATGCATGAGGCTGGGGCTAGTGCCAAGGGTAGGCATGGCTGGGCACATGCTGTGGGCCCACACATCACCAGAAGCCTCCTGACAAGAGCCGACTGGAGGAGCTCCTCCTCCTCCTCATGGTTGCAGGTTGCTTCCTCATCTGCATCCTGCTCTGGTCAGGCAGTGATGATACGGAAGAACAGCAGATTCCACTGCTTGTTGAGTTGCTGACTCTCTGCCTGTCAAGCAGGCGAGGAGCAGCAACGAATAGGAGCAGTGGGAGCTGGCAGGAATGCTGGTGAGAAGGTGGCCTCCCTTAGGAAGGGGCCCTTTGAGGATGCCTTGCCCAAGGGCCCTTGAAAACCTGGAGGCAGGATCACAGAAGGTTCAATAGGACCCCCATATCTGCTGTCTTAGGAGGGCCCACTGCACAGTATTTAGTGTTTGCTACTAGCCGAGGTTTCAGGCCTCAGCCGGGGGTCTTGGAATCTATCCCTTACAGACATGGGGGTCCTACCGTAATTGCATTTTTATTACAATTAATTGCCTGCATCTTGCAGGAGGTTGGGAAACACTGAGAATGACAGTAATTTCTTTTATTCACAGTTACAGGACAGCAATGGGTTGGAGGCAGTCACTTTTCTCCCACAGTGTCTAGTTAAGGTCTTAGTTGTCCTCCCTTGCGTGGACTATGCAAGCAGAGACGGCCATTTGGCTTAGGCAACCTCTAAGGTTTGGCTGCTTTCCCTGCCATTTCCTGGCGTGAAACTATTAAGCTGAGACACTTTATGAAACAGGCAACAAGCACTAAAAGGGCTGCGAGACTCCTTCCTGCTGGCCACGCATTGCTGACTTTTCCTGTTTACACAGTTTTCCAGCAGAGATTGGCTAGAAGGCAAAGAATCTGGGCTGGTTTGGGATGTTTTAAAGTGGCTTTGGGTATGCAAATTGCATTTGCTCTAGAAAATGTTGATTGTATATTTAAGGATGTTCATGCCATGCTGATGTGCAGACAGTCAGGGGTATTAAAACTGTCTGAGTCCTAAAGCCACACATACATACTGATTGGAAATGTGAAAATGAGAGCCCTGCATATTTCTCCCTCAAACACACACACACAGAAAGCAAGTATACCCCTAAATGATTGAGCTGTAGTCCAAAGGAGTTACTCTATTTTCTGATATAAACCCTGAAACTTGGTCCATGCATAGCTGAAATCAACCAGAAAGTAAGAAGGTCTGAAGGGGAAAACTTTAGTTATTTCTTACATCTCTCCCTCAAAATAGTGAATGCTAAAATGGTTAAAGCTGCCCCCATACTAGCTAAGAAGGTGAAATTGGATATAAACATAGCCTAAAGTATCCTGACTCTTAAAACAGATTAAAAAGGTGATATGTGTACATTTCTCCTTAAACCAGGGGACGCAGAATTCCTTCATCCAAATGGCCAAAGTATTTCCAGAAAGCTCAAATGTGGCAAATACATGCATCAAGACACACTGTTTATTAGAAAAATCTGAAAAGAAGACATTTGTTCATCTGTGTCCCAATATGGGAGGTATGAAGCATTTACCATAAAATAAATACTTACATTATCAGTCATAAATCTGCATTTGGTAAACATAGAGTCAGGGCCATCTGAGTTCTAGCAAAGTCTGAATAGGACACATTTAGTTTTCAGAAACAAACTGAAATGTAAACAAAACCTCCCTAAGGCTGGAAATTGGGCTCCCTGCATTAGAGTCATTGCTCTTTCACACTCTTGGATGAGCCCCATGGGAGATTTCCAAAATCAGTTAGCAGAATCTTACATGTAGGCTTGCAGAATCACTCGAAGCCTCCACAGATGAACTACGGGGATGTCTTGAACATTCGCAAACCATCTAACTTCTGAAAGGAATATTCCATCAATGGAATTTTAAGAGAACATTGCAGTTCCTGTCAAGGATGTGAACACTTAGATTGGTTGTGAGGAAACTTCAGAGTTAGTCAGGAGGACATACCATTGGAAACCTCGCTAAATGTGATGGTAGACCAAGAAGATGGTATATCAGCTTGGAGCAGGCCAAAATAACGCTAAGTCAGCATGGGTGCCAGTTTTCCCAGGGCTATCCAGATTCATGGCCAGGGTGGCCATGTGAACTGCTTTACAGTGTACAGTCCTTTATTTGAAGGGCTGCCGAAGGAAAGTCTTCTGCATGGAAGAATCCTCTATTAGAATGATCCTGTTGAAATCTGGTTTAAAGATAAAGAACCAAAAGAACTCCTGTCCACCCACAGTTAGCACCTGAGCAGCAGGCTGAGCACACAGACAGAGAAGTCACCTGATTAGTTGTCCATGCTATGGTGCAATTTTGGTGTACCGTAATTTTTAGTGTATGGTGTACTGTGATTTTTCTTTTAATGATACTAATTATTTCTGACCTTATATATATATGCACATAAGTTAGCATGTGCACACTTCAGGCAAGCTGGCGCCCCCTTCTCCTGGTGGTGAGTTTCCTCCTTTTGGAGATTCTTAAGAGGCTGCCCCCGGCCTCTGCTTGGCCAAATGAGAACAGAATGCTGCACTAGATAGACCTCTGTTCTGATCCAGCGTGTTTGCTGCTGCTCTGATCCAGCGTGTTTCTTCTTTCAGTCTTACTCATGCAAACTGACATGTGAATCAACCACATAAATAAATGTCAAAGAAATTGCCTTCATAAACAGCTGTGTCTTGAACCCAGAAGATCTGTTTCTCTGACAACCATCCCACGGGACAGAATTTTACGCTTCTACTAGTTAAATGTGTGAAAAAGTTAACCCTGCATGAGTCTTTCAGAGCGATGAGGGGACCTTCCCTAAGCTGTTCCAGTTTCTTCTGGAAGCCACCATCCTGGTGCCCTCCATATGTTTTGGACTACAATCCCATCATCCCCAGCATGGATGATCTATGACCCTGCTGTCTGGAGATGATCAGCATTGTACAAGAAACCTGCTTAAAGCCCAGACCAGTCCATACAGTGGGTTGTATCCAATGTTGGTTCTAACTTAATCCTATCAATTTCAATGGGTCTATTCTAAGAAGGACTAAGAATGACTACAACCCAGTAAGTTCATGTTTAGGGCACCACAGACAAATTATCAGATGGACTTATCATCACCACTTTCTATTATAATTCCTTTGACCACTGTACATATCTGCTCACTTCCATCCAGTTTGGATTATCACTTTTTAGTTTGCATTTTATTTCTAATATTTTAAGAAAAATAATTTCCCCTCATTTTTACTGGCACTAGTATTGGATTTTATTAAACAGAAGGCTATTAATGAAAATACTTAGCATTGTATGGCATATTTAAATGTTTAAAGTGCTTTATATGCATTTTTTGTTTGCAGACCTTATAACAACCTTCTAAGCTAAGCCAATATTATTATACCCCTACTGCAGAATGGATGGACGGGACTGAGGCTTACTATTGGCTCCTAGGAAACTCATGGCAAAGGTAAGAATTAGGATGATCAGATATACAATTTGACAGAGCACAATCCTTTATTTGAAGGATTGCCTTAAGACTGTCTTCTATTTGGACTTGGATGGGTTTCCAAATCAAGTTCAATTTAAAGATGAAAATCTATAAGATGAGAATGCTGTAGGAGCCTTGAAGGTGCCCATCAACAGTTTGCTCCTGGACATCTGTATTCTACATTAAATGGATGCAATTTCGAGGCAAATCTGCATCCTCTTTTTGTTAGTGATGATTTCCCTCTTTTTGATTGATGAATAAGTGGCTGAGGACTTCCTGATCCATACATCATTCCCTTAGCAGCTACACTAAACTAAACACTATTGCTTGAGTTACAGATGCCAGATTGTAAAGTTCAGTGTTGTTTTGATTTGGATTTTACATATTTCTTCCTCTTTTGTAACAGCTAATGCTCAAAACAATCAAAACTGAGCCAAATTACTCATTTCCAGTTATCTCCAAGAGTACATTGCATTGTCTATAGCCAAGTGCTACAAGACGATTGCATTTGTACCAGTTCTTTTGGGAATTCACAACTCAATAATTTACATGGCATACTTAAAACTTCAGCTTAGTCCAGTCATTAATGGAGTGAAGAAACTGCTTGATGAAGGTGTACCTTAGCAACTAAAGGACAACCTGGAGGAGAAAGTGACCCAGCTCTGCTTGCCACCCAAAACGGAACCATTGCAGCTCAAGGCACATGTTATTTCAACAGGACATCTTTCTGTGCCACACTGAAGGCAACAAAGCGCACAGGACAGGAAAGGAATGCCTAGGGAGTCCAGGAGAAAAGTTGGAAGCTGCTCACTCCTTTCCAGCACACACCACCTGGAGCAGTTATTCCACTCTGCCTATTTGTTTACTATGTGATCTCATCCGCCAGTCCTAGTAAGCAGTCTTGCAGCTCCATTCGCTACCAACGGAAGTATCTGGACCGTTTTCAAGGGTAGCCCCACAGAGAGTGCATTACAACAGTCCAGTCAGGTAATCACCCCAGCATGGATAACAGGAGGGACAGTCCTGCTACTGTCATGGAGAGCTCCCGGGTAAAACTGGGCCAATGTATCCTTCAGGGTGGCCCCTGCCATTATTTATTTATTATATTTATATCCTGCCTTTTTCCTGCAAGAAGCCCAAGGCAGCTTACACGAGCCTCCTCTTCATTTTATCCTCACAACAACCCTGTGAGGTAGGTTAGAATGAGAGACAATGACTGGCCCAAAACCACCCAGTGAGTTTTGTGGCCAAACAGGGATGAGAGCCTGGCTCTCCAGTCCAGCACTCTAACCACTATACCACACGGGTTCTATGCCACATTTTATGCAAAATACAGCAAGGTAAGCTGTAGGCCATGGAGCTTGCCCTGTATCACCTACGCTTATCTGCTGCATTAGGTGCAGCGGAGGATTTTTCCCCATCTTTTGTGTTGAGCTAAGATTCAACTGCTAGTGCAGTGGGCTTTTCTACGTGTGGAGGGAAGCATCATATTCTTTGAAATTTTTTACATGGGGCATTTATTCTGTGCTCTTAATTCCGTACTCACCACAGTTTGAGTTCTTTAAATGACATTGTGATTCTTCAATTTCAGTCCTGTTTTTTTAAAGCACTTTCCTCCCTCCCTCCCTCCCTCTGTGTGTTAAAGTGGGGAGAAAGGGGCATTATTGCAGAAAGCAAAAGCATTTTCCTACTTGTGTAATTCTGATATTCTGCTATAGCACAGCGTCGCCTAGAGGTTATATAGTGGAAAAACAGGGAAGGAATCTTTATCTAGATTCAGTGATTAACAGCCCTATGTAGAAAAGTTCCAACAAAATACCCTGGGCCAGGCCTAATGTCATCAATTATCTGTAGTCCAAGAGCAGATAATGATTGCAGTAGTAAAGATGTCACTCTCACTAGCAAGTGCTGCTGCTGTGCCCACCATTTTAATCCCCCACAACAGAGGCATCCCTCCAGAGCGACACCGCAGTAAGAACCCTGAGTTCTCGTGGGGGACTCAAACCACAAGAGTAGTTCTGGAAAGCCTCAAGCAAGGAAACCGGCGGCAGCACTGAAAAGCCCAAGCAAGGAAATCTAAGTTCTAAGTTCTCCAGCTAAGTTCTCCAGCTGGTGTTTCAGAATGCTCACGTGGCTTTCCAAAATTTTCAAAATCCCAACAAGGAAGGGGGGAAAGAACTGCTTCTTTTCCAGGGAAACAAAAAGGGTTGTGAAAGGGCAGTTGAGGTTCTGGAACAGCACTAGCATTGGGAAGCAAAGGCACTGCTGGGGCTGGAGCCCAGGGCTGAAGTGCAGGAGCCCAGAGACCGGGGGTCCTCAGGAACCAAAGCAAGCCAGTCCAGCACTTTCACCTGGCCTGGGACCTTCCCAACTGATGCCCATCACCTCAGAATCTTCCATTCTATTTATGAAAAAGCAAAGAGTTAAACAGCTAGCTGGACATGTATATGGGTAGAAATGCTAATTTAATTTTTTTCTACTTGCAATATGTAATGTTCTTTTGCACAATGCAGTGTTGTTTATTCCCAAGTTTTGCATCATAGTGGCAGGAACAAACTTCACTTTATTCCCACAGTTATGATGTGCTGCTGTTTAAGCAGGTTTAAAATGTGAAACGTCACATCCTCACTTCATTATTTATTTATTTATTTATTTAAACCAAGGGATGGCAAACAAGTTTTTGTTTTTGTTACTCATGTACTTCACAATGGAAGTAATGCAAATGGCTGCCTGAAGTCCAGGGAATAAAATTGCCCAGATGCACCACTGCCCATGAGACCAGCATTATGATCAGTTACAAAAAAGCAGGGGAAAGAGAATGCAGAGTGGCGGGTCATCTGGAGGACTCAGCGCCCCCAGCAAATGCCTCCATGTGCTGACTGTGGATGGTGCTGGGGCAAATAAAAGTAAAACTTGAAAGCCTTCCCTTCAATTCCTTGCTCAAGCAAGGAAGATCCACCAGTTAATCACTCTTGTGGTTTAGCAGATGGCCTCATTGCTCCTGTTCTAAAAAAAAGTTTTGGAGCTCTGGATTGTGTAAGCTGCTCAGAGAACTTCAGATGTGGGGTGGAAGAGAAATGAAAACGAGGAGGAGGAGGAAGACGACAATGGTAACAACAACCCTGCATTCATCCTCCATTAGACCATTCTATTTAGGATACAATAAAAGCCATGATGCTGCTGCATAAAACCAAGGGCCCATCTAGTCTAGAGACTGGTTTCCAACTGTGGCCACCCAGATGTTTCTGGAAAGTCACAACCTGGATGTGACAGTAACTCCCCCCTTCACTGTTTGTCCTCATCTCCACCGCTAGCAAGTGGTATTCAGAGGAGTACCATTTCTGAACCTTGTGGTTCCATCAGCTGTGGTGGCCGTCCCTTTTTTAATTACAAAACTAGTCAAACATAAGAAATGCAGAGGAGGGCAAACACTTGTTCATGGTAAGGGCTAGACCTGCTGGGCCTAAGTCACAGGAGGCTAGCTTTTGATCAAACATCCACAGACACGACTTAATGGTAAAAACAAGGAGCTAGAGGGGTGAGGCGGGTTCTCCTGCCCTGGGCGTCTTCATTTGGGGCTGGACAGCAGGGCTGGCATAAAGCTGGGGCCTGATCAGGCACCTGCCAGGGACCCGAAGCCCTTCAGGGGCCCATGGACAAGAGCCCCTCCGGGCTGGTTCCTCCCCTTCACCACTGCAACCTGCTCGCTCCTCTGCCTCTTGCCCCGGCCTTCCACAAAGGTGGTCAGCAGCGGGAGTGGCCACACCCTGCCTGCTCAAGGGCTGCTCACCTGGCAAGCAGGCAAATGCTAACCACTTTGAGGGCAAGGAAGAGGAGCCAAAGGAGTTGCTGACAATGGCAGGCAGTGAGGGAGGAGGTCCACTGAGGTGTCTTGCCCACGGCCCCTCAAATATGTGGAGCCAGCACTGTTGGGCAGGCATCTGTTGGAGATGCTCTTGATGTGGACTTCCTGCGTGGAGCGAGGGGTTGGACTGGATGACCTACAAAGCCCCTTTGTGCTCCATGATTCTGTGATGATCCATTGATACACCTGTTAGCTTGAAAACCAGGTTATAGTCATCTAAGCCCATAGCTGGGTCAGTCATCTTGTAGCTGTGAATGTACAGTTACCATGGGCATGACATAGACATACACTCATTGTTAGGTTTGTGTCTGGTTGGCTACCTGATTTAATTAATTAATTAATTAATTCATTCATACTTAGATGTCTTAGGACGGTTTACAACAAATTAATTCTAAAAATAGAAATAAAAATTATCAGTTTCCCAGCATCCAATGTTAAAATATAAACCCACTAACTAAAACAAGCTAAAAATTAAAATACTGGGAGAATAAAAAGGTTTTTGCCTGATGCCGAAAGGAAAGAAGCGTTGGTGCCAGGCGAATCTCTCTGGGGAGCGCGTTCCACAATTGGGGCGCTACCGCTGAGAAGGCCCTCTTCTGGGTAGTCACCCTCTTGATCTCTTTCAAGGACGGCTCCCAGAGGAGGGCCTCTGACTTAGATCTCAAGGGGTGGGAGGGCACATAGGGGAGAAGGCGCTCCTTCACATATCCAGGACCCAAGCCATTTAGGGCCTTATAGGTCATCACCAGCACCTTGAATTGGGTCTGCACTTCAATCGGTAGGCAGTGTAGATGACAGAGGACCAGCATTATATATGAACACCTGCCAGTCCCCATTAATATCCTGGCAGCTCTGTTCTGAACCAACTGAAGTATCCGGACCATCTCCAAGGACAGCCCCACGTAGAGCACGTTACAATAATCCAGTCAGGAAGTTACCATAGCGTGGGTCACTGTTTCAAGGCATCGCTCATCCAGGTAAGGGTGCAGTTGGTAGACCAGCCAGCTGGAGAAAGGCACTCCTTGCCACTGCTGCCACCTGGGATTCCAGGGACACCTCCGGGTCGAGGAGCACTCCCAAACTGTGCACCCTGTCCTGTAGTGGGAGTGCAAACATGTCCAGAACAGGGCAGATGTCACTCACCTGTAGGGCAGATCCGCCTACCAACAGGACCTTTGTCTCATCTGGATTGAACCTCAATTTATTGGACCTCATCCAACCCATTACCCCAACCAGGCACCAGTTAAGGATGGCCACTGCCTCACCTAGACTAGATGTAAAAGAGAGGTAGAGCTGGGTGTCATCAGCATACTGGTGACTCCACAGCCCAAACCTCCGGATGACTTCTCCCATGGGTTTCATGTAGATGTTAAAAAGCATGGGGGATTAAATGGAACCCTACGGAACTCCATGGCAAAGTTGCCATGGCACAGAGCTGCAATCCCCCAGCACCACCTTCTGGAATTGGCCAGGCAGGTAGGAGTGGAACCACTGCAAAGCAGTGCCTCTAACTCCTAACCCGGCCAGCCTATCCAGAAGGACGCCATGGTCGATGACATCGAAAGCCAATGAAAGGTCCAGGAGAACCAACAGGGATGCACTCCTCCTGTCCCTCTCCCTGCACAGGTCATCCTACAGGGCGACCAAGGCAGTTTCTGTTCCATAGCCAGGCCTGAAGCCAGATTGAAATGGGTCAAGATGGTCCATTTCTTCCAAGAGTGCCTGGAGTTGTCTGGCCACCACCTGCTCGAGCACCTTGCCCAAGAACAGGATATTAACCACTGGTCTATAATCAGCAGCTATCTCTGGGTCCAGGGACACTCTCTTCAGGACAGACCTGCTCACTGCCTCCTTCAAAGGGGCAGGGACCGGGACCTGGCCCTTCCTCAGAGAAGCATTGAGAACCTCCCAGACCCAAGTACATATCAGGTCCTTGGCTCCGATGAGCAGCCACGAGGGGCAAGCATCAAGTAAACAATACAACCAATAAAAACAGAGCCCTATTGCAAAATGCCCCTGGCTCTGTAAATTCACAAAAATAAATAGAATAAAATTATTAACCAGCTCGTCCCACCCCACCAGTAGAGCCCAGCCAAGTCCCTAGCCCAGTCCAACCCTGACCGACCCCGAACAGCCCCAAATGGTGGTGCCCTTTGATGTCTGCTTGGTGCCTTATTAAAAACAAGAGCAGCAGCAGCAGCAAGCCATTCAGTGTCTAGGTTCTGAACAATTGTTCCAGAGAAGATACGTTTAGAATATGAGAAGCCTGTAGCCAAGCAGTAAGAAGCAAAAGATGCAGAACCAATCAGTTTCCCCAGAGCTTGATCCAGATGAAGAGGAGACTGTATCTGAACACAAAACATTGTGCGAGCTTTCACAGTAGCAAATCAACTCAAGGTCTACCCTCACTGCTGGATGTGTGTTCAACAGGATGGGTCACATGGCAAAGTCAGCACAAGCGAACTTCTGCAGCGGAGGTTTACATGGTCTTCTGAATACTTTGACACACATCTGCTGTGCCTCATGAGCAGAAGGGGAGGAATCTTGCTAAAATTGGTCAAACTCTGCAAGTCAGGAACTGGTCTCATGTCCACCAAGCTATTTCAGAATGGCCACAAGCACACAGGTGCACAGGTGCACACAGCATCACTCTCAGCTACATGCGCAAATAGATATTTCTTTAGAGTCAGATATCTAGCATAGCCATGGGCAAGTGCACCTCTCCCGGACACACTAGCACAGGCACAGACAAGCACTTACACACAGCCATTTGCATGCATTCACAAGGCACAACATTGGAATGCCCTCTGTGCATTTATGCATGAGTGAAAGGCGTTAATATGCAAGCATCAGTACTTTTCATATGCATTCTGCCTTTCTGGCATGCACTTCACTGTGCCTTTCCGAGCCAGCCCGTGTCCAATTCATTCGCATCACGCAATTTTGTTTATATATATGTTTGTATGTTTACATGGAAAAGGATATGCTTTTCCAAGCCCACCCAGCATGCTTATATCCATGTTAGCACATCGGTTTGTAGCTGCACCTCAAGTCCACAGGCTGATCACACTGGACCCCTCTTTGTACTTCAGAGACACACCTGTCCATGCACCTTACATACATTCCTTTCACAGTCGCCTCCCACTCATGTTTGCACCTCCAATACCCTGATTTGCCCCCAGCACCGCAAACATTCGTGTGCGCCTTTCTGTCGGACTCATCCAGCTCTTGCTTTGCGCACTCACATCACACGAGGTGGGTACTGAAAGGTGCCAGTGTTACCTGCTTGGTGTTGCTCCTTTGCTGAACCCACAGCCTCTTCCTGCAGTAGGCAGAGCAGGACGAGGACTCCCCACGAAATCTTCAGCGATTCTGGGTGCAACCCCATCCCTCTGAAGCACCACCTTTCCTTGGCACTAACTTTCCACGCAGTTTCACCCCACAGCAGCTCCTGGAGTCCCTTCTCAGTAGTTGCCACCGGTCTGTTGGCAAGGGGTGAGTGAATCCCGTAAGATTCCAAGCCTCTGGAAGAAATTGACTGGCAGAAAATTCAGCATTTGGGGCTGCTGCTGCTGCTGCTGCAGCTGCAGCAGGCGACTGTCAAAGCTCAGCTGAACAGGGTTTGGATGGCGGGGGGGTGAGAGAGAGAGAAGCAGGCAGGCAGGCAGGCAGGGTGGGCAGGAGAGAAAGGAGGTGAAGCGCCTGCCCTCTGGTGGCCACTTGGGGGCACACGCCAGTGGACAGCAAACGGGCAACTTGTTCGAGGAGGCCTGAGCGTGCAAAAAAGCAAAAGGGGAAAGAAGCGTTCAGGCATTTTCACACGTGAGGCTTGCAAATCAATCTGTGCTGAAGCAAGCCTGTAATGTAAATGCAAAATCGGGGTGGGCTGGAACGTGCAGCCAGCTTCGGCCCCACAGGGAACGGATGTCCCAGGAGACACACGTAGGGAAAAGCCGCGCCTCAGTGGTAAGGCGTGCGCCTCACATGGAAAGGTCCCAGCTTCAGTCCCTGATGGCTGGCTGGAAAAACTCGCTCAGACCACCCAGGGGAAAGGCAGCCCAACAAACGGTATTTGTGTGGTGTGGACCGAGCACCCTAAGAAAGGCTGAGCCTGGAGCTGACGCATGACAATGTGGGACAAAAGCTTACGCTTTAAAACACGAGAAAGGGATTCTCTAGAGGAGGAACAGCTGGGTGCAAAAGAGCAGGTCTGGCCCAAAAGGTTTTTACTGTCTGCGCCGCAAGACAAAGGGGCTGTACAAAGACCGGCTGGGCAAGGCAAGAGAGTCTTACTTTAAGACTGACAACAGGGCAGCATACTCTGGTTGAACTGAAGGAAGCAGGCCAGCTTAGCAGCGGGACAAGCAACCTTTTTTGGCCTGTAGGTACTTTGGCAATTTGAGAAACTCTCCTGGGCACCACAAGATGGGAGGCACAGCAAACTGTACCTCATGCAGCCTGCAGACAAACTTTGCATAGGAACGCTTGCAAATCTTTCCTAATGCATGTGTTCTCTTGCGTTATCTACCTGCTTCCTGAAAATTGAGAGGGGATCCACACAAATTCATATTCCGCCCTTTTGACAGTTCCCCTTGTGCAATGCAAAGCACTGAGAACCTAACCATGCTTTTGATAGTTTGAATGGATGGCAAACAGATGACCTCCCAATATGGACATCTGATGTGCCTTTGTTGATGCTTATGTATAATCGGTATGTTCAAATCTCCCTCTGTGTGGGTGTAATTGTTTTTTAATGTTTTTTCTTACAATAAAAATATATTGTGAAAAAATACACTGTCTCTCACTATTTCCTGAACAAAAGCCCAAAGGACTGATAGCAGAATCTTATTTCAACATGGGCAACAGAACTGCACCCTCCACTTTAACCTGAGGAAAGCAGGTTAGCTTAGGGCAGGGGCAGGTGCACTTTGGGGGCCGGTGGACACAATTTCGGAAGCCATCCTGAGCACCACCACAAGATGGAGGCACAGAAAGCGACAATTAATCGCTTAAGACTGAAGACAAGAAAAGGCGGAGGTCTAAGTCCAAAGCACACTAAACAACTCCTTTGAACGTGGTTTTCCCTACCAGCAAAACTTATTTCACAGTGATCCCAGCTGATGGTAAGAAAATGTGTCTTTTTGTAAAAGTGGGAGGCAGAAAGCATGTTAGCTGCAGGGCAGTGGCACCCACAAATGCTATGCTGTGATTTAGGGGGCTGCAGATAACTGCCCACCAACACCTTGCAGCTGTTCACTGCCATTCAGCACCTCATTCCTCCTACCAGAAGAACCCATTAAAATCAAGTGTTTTAAAACTGGATTTCTATTGTCTGCAAGACTTTTGCACTGACGGTGACTCTGACTAGATCCCTACTTTTTTCCCTTCTAAAGTTTCACTTCTTTGAACTATTTGCTATTTCTGGCCAGGGTGCTGCGAATCTACATTTATCCTGTCCTGATTTTCTGTTGTGATGGCAATGGAGCGGGGTGGGGGTGGCAGTTGTGTTTATGTTTCCAGAGGCCTGCAGAAAAATGGATATACCTAGGTTGAATTTAAGCCTTATTATATTAACATCTGGCAAGCAAAATGTAACAGATAAACTGCATTTTCATACATGGAAAATCTGTCTGTTGGATTCCTGCCTGTTAAGCAATCATCAAAAGGACAGAAATCTTGTCATAAAAATCTATTGCATATGCCGTCTCTAGACAGAGCAAAAGAATAAGGGAATGAGAAAGAAAAGGACATATATCTTTGTAGTTAAGTCAGGGATGCACATTTTTTTCAGACCAAGGGCTGAGTTTAATTCTGGAGAATTCTCAGGGGCTGCATTCCAGTTGTGGAAAGGGCCAAATACACCACCATCCTGTGCTAAAAGCTCCTATTGCCAAACCACTAATTCTTTTTAAAAGAGGCATTTCAACTTTGTAGAATAGGAAAAAAAACTGCACAAAACCTAGGAAAGCAACAAAAAAGTGATGGGGAAAAAGGAGAGAAGTGCACGGCCTCTTGGAGAGCCCTGAAACTGGATTTTGGTTAGGGGGTTAATTCAGCTCCTCTTAGCCACTCCCTGCATTATTTTTGTAGGGGTACATCTGATAAAAGACCAGGAGACCCAGCAGAAGAATGTATCAATCCTGGAGGCTGATCATTTCTTTAGTGTTTTGGGGCTCAGACCTGACATTTCCTTGTACTTAATTTATGCAGTAAACAATTTGCCCTTTATGATTAGCCACACTTTCCACAACAGCCACTTTGTGGTGGAGCCAATAGCCACTTCTTACTAGCCAAATGTGTCCATTAAGGTGCCACAGCACGCTTGGCTGCTCCTGCTGCAACAGAAAAATGCTGCGTTGTTTCTATGGATGCAGAAGTATCTTGTACACCGGTCGGTATCCTCCTGAAATGCAATTGGTCATGGTGCATGATTTTTTTTGGCGAGTTAACATTACAAAGAAGAGGACCACAAATGAATTTGAGGAGGGAGTTGCGAGAGAGGGATTACCACAGCTAATTCTAAAATTGCGTAACAGCTAGAGCACAACTGCTTTTTGTGAAGCTGCATCCCTTTGTCTTCCAATCCTGAATGTGTAGGACAGACTGCAATTTGTGATGCTTTGATAAATGTGCACAGGTGTTCTGCACATCAGTGGAAGAAAATGGCACAGATTCTATACACACACACAGCCAAATGAGGCAAATGGCAGAAGCTACCTTAGGTCACCTGGCAGCTCCTCTCCAGCAAAGGGTCTTTCACAGCCCTTGCTCCTTGATGCTTTGTAGCTAGAGATGCCAGAAATGGAACGAGGGCCTCTTTCATTTGTGTCCCTCCATTTATAGCAGCAAAAAAGACTGTACCATTTCAGACCGCAGGTGAAGTATCATATTTACATGGACACTCGGCAGATTGAAAACTAGCCCAGCAGAGGGCAGCCTAGGTTAAAAAAAAACCCCACCCTGTCTCTGATGGGTTAAGAGAACATTAAAAAGGGCAATTTCCATCTTCTGTGTTACTCTCCATTGTACGACTCCCCGATTCTTTTAGTAGCATGGTTTTTGCAGGAAATACAAATGCACTTAACTATGCTTGAACTGGCCTTCTCCAACTTGATGCCTGCAGATTTATTGACTATTCCTAGGCAGCATGGCTGGGAATGATGGAATTGGTTATCTAGTCCTGCTGGGAAGGCTAAGCAATACTGAAAGTAAGTCCTGGAGGCAAATCATGGCACTACTTAAACTCTGATAGGAGGTCTTAGCCTCTGCTCTCCTCTTTTGTAAGGTCTCCAGGTCAGCAAAGATCCTTCAGCTAGTGGGGCATCATTATGCCTAGAACCTCTTGCAAACTCTTAAGTTATTTCCTAGTTATAGTACAGAAGCTATAGTTGCAAAAGGAATGAGAAACCAGTTTTAGGTGCTAATATTGACTTTGTCACATGTTGTTACATATAGTTCAAAATAACCTGCCAAATATTTGTGTATCCGTGTCCCAGAGAAAACTAGTTCAGCAGTCCTGTTTTGTTAAGTTTTAGCAGGTTGCTACCTTTTGCCAGAGCTCGAGTTTCTTCTATCTTGTCCCCTCTGGATAAGTTGTACAACTGCTATATCCCCTTACATGGATAGCTCTGATGGCTGGAAATAGAAGGAATTGTGCTCCAACGCATCCCAAAGGTATTGGGTAGTAGGTAGAAGTTGTGAGAAAAGATTCTTGCACAATGGAAAGCAAAGTAGATTAATTCCTATGAAAAGACCATAGCATTGCAAGACACTTTTGAAATCTTGTTAGCCCTCCTGGTCCAATTCTGATCTACTGCATCAGCCCTGTTTGCTTCAGACAGAACTTACCAGCGATGGCACCAGAGTAACTTACCATCCAGAACACCAGGGAAAATAAAACCAGGAGTGATGTTTTCTGTGTGGCTGTGACATTCACACATCATAAATGCCAGGGAACTTGACAAGTCATTCGCAATAGTGCCAAAGCAAGAACCCTAATTCTGGCTAGGGCCAACACCAGGCAAGTTTTGTTTGTGGGAAGATCTAGACGTGACAGAGCATGCAACTGTGAAAAATAAACAACTCATTTAATAAGGCAACATTTTAATTAAAAGACTCCAAACAGGCCATGTTTGGAAATATTTAAAAAATCCCCCACAATGAGAGAACTCTTAGATGTGGGAGAAGGAAGCCATTTTTGTTTAAAGACAGCAGAGTGTACTTTGTAATAAGTAACAAAGCACATATCCCTGTAATTTTATCTGAGCGCTTACAAAAAGCGGATATTGGTCCCACGTTTGAAAAGTAGAAGCATTGCGCCATTTCCTCCCAATGTCTTGGTGTAAGCGTACAGCAACGCAAGGACCACATTGTGAGGTGCTAGAATGGACTGCACTACTTTTGTGCTGTGTGGGGAAACACATATGTGAATGCTAGTCCACATGCAGAACTCCATGCAAATAGAAAGCTAGTACACCTGGCAAAGGACTTTCCTCTCTAGTGTCCATTCTTCTGTTTGCAAAGAGGTCAGTTGTTTTAATATGACGGATGCAACTTTTTAATGCTCCTTCACCTGTAGTTCAAAGTGATACAGTCCAATTCATTACTGATTCTGCTGTGCGTAAGTGCAGACCCATAGCACCAAACTAATGTCATTAAACCAAAACACAACATGGACATTAAATACTGTTTTTTCAGGGCAAGCAACATTATGTCTAGTTTTGCCCCCCCCCAACCTAAGGGGTTTGCAAAGGTGTGCTGTAAATTTTCATGCAGGATTAAGAAGTGATATGTGAGACTTGGGTAACAATTACAGCTCAGCTCTCCATTCTTTTAAAATTCTCCAGAAGTCTGCATAGCATTTAAAGACAAGTTTGCCTTCGTCTACCAAAGAAAGGGAGAAAAATTCAGTATGGGGGATAAAGCTTGCTTCCCATATGGCAATGCCATTGCTCTCACAGAAACTGTTTTTCTTGTGCACCACAGCCTCCTTTGGACTTCTTGTCTCAGAATTGCCTTGACACGTTAAAAGGAGCCATCCAAAAACAGCAGCTGAGAAGACTTTCCTGATATTAGCAGGTCAGACACTAAAAAAAAGTCAGAACTCTGCTCAAAAGGGGCTGGAAGGGACACGCCAAAGGGTAAAGCAGCACTCCAACTATTCTGTCATGGACTATATATAAAGCAATGGGAGCAATTCTTCAAAGGAGGAGGATAGACTATACATTTTAGCCACAGAAGTCTCTCGAGCAAATTCTCAACTTGGAAAGACGCTCAGAGGCCAGAGAAAAAGGTCAAAGTACACTGAACCACACTGAGTTGTGATCGCACGGTGATAATGCAAAGCATGTTATTTTGGCTGCGGGCAGTAGGGAGGTTCAGGAGCATTTTCTTGCTTCTTTTAAGGCTGACATTGTAAAGGTGTGTTGTGCTGTTCTGTTAGGAAAGGTGCAAAGCCTGCTCTGCAATTATTGCTTCCCTAGGCAATGGTGTGACGTACGGTCCCTTGCCTGTATGGCAAAGATCTGATCCACGATGTATCTCCCATTCCTTCTCTCTGTAGGCACAATTCTAGTATCACCTGCTACAGTAGTCCGTGGTTCTGAGAAATGTATAAAATCATGTTCTGATGGTATCAGAAAGAAGAAATCCTATCAAGGTCCAACAAGTCCTGAGAGTTTTGCAAAGTGGAAATAAATACACATGAGGTTTTCTTTCTTCTCTCCTTCCTGTGGTGATTTTGGCTGATGTCATTTGGCTGCAGCTCGAGAAATCATCCATTCTAAACCAGCTGGAAGGCTGTAAGGAGTAGAAACAAAGACTTAGTACTGGAAAATGCCCAGACTTCGTAGCTCCTGGTAACCAAACCACATGATCTGCTCCATCTTCCAAGGAAGAGAGCCCAGATGCCCCTTCCAGCTTCTCCACACAATTTTCACCCTAATCCTTAACTAATTCTAAGCTCAGAATGAACAACAAATCAAGTGAAGCCACATTAATCAGAAACAAAATTTGGTTAGCACTGCCCAACATTTTAAAATAGAAAATACTAGGTTTTTAAAAAAGAAGGTTTAAAAAGAAGTCATGATGGGGCAACAGCAATTTTTTGACCAGGACAAATACAGCCATATAGCCCAGTCAGAAAGTTGACATAGCCGGAGTTGACATAGTGGAGTTGACATAGCTCTTGCAATGTCAACTCCACCTTTTTAAAAAGGGAAACAGAGTTTTTATGGCTAGAATTTCCTTTTCCCAAGAAAAACTGAAGTATGAATTTTTGCACTTTGCTGAACAGATAGAGGTTAAAGAAAAGCATTCAAAGGTGCATCAGCATGTGCAGTATTAAGGGCGAAAAAGAGATGACAATTTTGTTGCCCCAACACCCCATTTTTGCGAGCAAGCATCACTTACACTTTTGGTTTCACTTGACAGCTTGTTGTTTAACAGCTGTCAAAAAAGCGGGGAAGACCCATTAGGAGCCTCTTCTGGGCAATGTTCAAGATCTGCTACACCTTGGCAGCAGACACACCCCTGGACATCACCCCAGTGAAATCTTCCGATTCCCACCAGTTGTGCAAGCACAGCTTTTTTTTTTTAAGGAATGTTCTACACAACAAATTAAGATGTTTCTGCTCATCCAAGATGTCACTCGGGCACTTCGCAGGGGCTATCAGTGGCCATCCAAACATGGATGGGCTGTGAAGTGGATGTTCATGATACCCAAAAGAAAAACAAGAAGAGAAATAAAAGGCATGGCAAGCTAAAAGGCGTGCAATCAGTGGGGAAGTAACTTGGCCCTCTTGCGGTGTCCCCTGGAACACCTGTTGGAGGGATGAGGTGTGCGTGCGGGGAGGGAAGGAAGGGGCCAACGATTCACAGTGAGGCCGATCATCCGTCAGGCTCACCATGGGCTTAAGGCAGGGGATTAAGCACAGCATATGAACCCCAACTGCTCCTTAGCCTCACGCTGGACGCCGAAATCTGCAGAACTCACCCCTCTCCTGTGAGTGCACAACATCCTTGAATATGCCATGGATGGTCTTTGATAGAGCTCAGGGTGAGGAAGTTTGAGATTTCAGAGGCAGACATGGAATTTTTGACATCTTGCTTGTTGGCAAATATCAACACAGCTGCGTGACGTAGGTCCTACACAGAGGAAGGAGAAATCACTGCTTACTCCTGGTTTCCATCAATGTGCCAATCAGATTCCGACCCACCCCAAACCACGGGAAGAACCCCTTGGACCCATATTTCAAAAAACATATTCTAATATGCCCATCACTGAGTAAAATGCTTAATATTCATGCCAGGGAAACTGTGTCCATCCAAGAAAGTAACTGAAATAGATGTCCATTTTGGACCGCATATTGCTAAAGATGCTCCACTGGTGTCCACATTCTGTTACATATAGTTACTTCCTGGGCAATGCGGGTGTTGGGAAACAGTCCCTGGTATCACAGCAGCTGAGCCAGAGGGAGGTGGCTTATAGTACACGTCAGCCTGTCTTTAATTTAAACATACAAAAGCAGATGATTAGTTGCATATTTATTTAAAACATAAGATTCTTTTTGAAAGGCACAGGGACTAAAGAGGTGAGCCAGTGACGGCAACTGTGCTTTTCCCAGTCTTAATAGTCTGTATACATAAATTGACCTCCAGAGGGCTGATGGATAAATACAGCAAGCATCTCTCGTGTCATTTTGGTTTCTTTTGGTATGCAGTTTGTGGCCAGAACATCCTACAGTGACACCTGATTTACAAATGCAGCAGGACAAGTTGGTACTACCACTGTTGAATGGTACCCATAAGTATTCCTTGCAAAGAAAGAGGCCCAACACAGAGAAAGGTTCCAGCACATACTATATTCCTTTAAGCCACTTTTTACTTGCAGGATGATATTCGTTTGTTTGTTTGTTTAGAAAATTTGTAGGCCGTCCATCACAGTCATCTCTGGACCGCTTACAACAAAATTTTCATAGGAAAGCATTCAAAAGCTAAATTCCCCACTCACCTTCCTTGTAGCCTGAAATCATAGAATAGTAGAGTTGGAAGGGGCCATGAAGGTCGCTGGGTCCAACCCCCGGCTGTTGCAGAACACCAAGTTACACCATCCCACTCAGATGGCTGCCCAGTTTCTCTTTGAAGGTCTGTAGTGTGGGAGAGCCCACCACCTCCCTAGGCCGCTGGTTCCACTGCTGTATTGCTCTGAGTGAAGAAGCTTTTCCTGATAACTAGTCTGAATCTGGGTTGTCACAGCCGGACTTGATTATTCCATGTCCTGCACTCTGGTATCAACAAGAAGAGATCTTGACCTTCCTCTTTGTGACAGCCTTTGAGGTACTTCTAGAGGGATATCATCTCCCCACTCAGTCCTCTCTTCTCTCGAGGCTGAGATGACTCATTCCTTTCTATTATGTCAGGACTCTGCCAACTCAGCTACCATGCATAGACCAAGTTTTAGGCAACACTATTGGGCAACTATGTAACACAAAACACTAACAGCACAAAACAATTCACGACAAAGAAAATGTCCCAACAGTATGCAGAAACACCTACAACGGACGAGTTTGTATTTCTGTGAGTCTGACCTGTGGATATCATAGCAAAGAAGCTTTTCCACACAGATTCCATAAACTTTTGGAGTAGATTTTTCACTGGGGGGAAATGTTTGCACTAATTTGCATTAGTACTAATGTACAACTACACACTAGTTAACAGAACTTAGTGTTAATTCACATTAACAAATCTGTATTAAGTGGAGCAGGGCTTCTACAATTTAGCACAAACAAAATACTGGCAAAAAAATCAAATTCTGTCACTGGCTGAACGAAAGACACCTGGCAACCCATGAAACGCAGATGAAGCAGATGTAACCGAGTCCACATATCCTTACTCACAATGAATTTCTCTTTGTGCTGTGGCACGCAGACTCACCTCATGAGCTAACATCTTGTACAGTTCCTCTTTTGTCACTGTCAGCCTCTCACGGTCTGTGCTGTCAATCACAAGAATGACGAACTAGAAGGAAACGGAAAGCACCAGACTTATGAGCCGCACCAACAACGGAAACCAAAGCTAAGAAGATGGAATTGAAAGATAATTCCCTTGATAGACTAACAGCCATCTCAGCTCTCTGGACAATCAAGTTCCAAAGGGAGGCATCAGCAAGGTTTGGGTAACTCCAATGCTGGGAACAATAGATGGCAAAAGAAGGGGACGGCAGAGGATGAGGTGGCTAGATGGAGTCACTGAAGCGGTTGGTGTGAGCTTGGGTGGACTCCAGGGGATGGTGGAGGACAGGAAGGCCTGGAGAAGTGTTGTCCATGGGGTCGCGATGGCTCGGACATGACTTCGCGACTAACAACAAGTTGTCTGAAGTACAATAAAATCTTGGAAAGCCCCTGAAGGAAATGTCTGATAGGGAGCAAGCATGCCCAATGGGCATTAAATGTTGGTAGACAGCCAGAAGCAAAGGAATGGAAAACTCAAGGGGAATACAGAATAGTCTTTCTGAACAGCAGTACATCAAACCTAAGCTAGATTAGATTGGTCCTATAGATCAGGCCTTCCAGAAAGCTTTCCCTCAGAAACAGCGATGTCTAACTTTAATCACTTGCTGATCATGGGAAGGAACCCAACAGATGTTGGGTGGCTGTGTGGAAAAAGGTTCTGTGGCAAAGGCTGAACTCATACAAATCCTGAGCTGGGGACAATAATCCACCTAATCTGGCATTTTATCTCCACTCAGATGTCCCAAAGGTGTGGGCAAGCAAACAGCCAAGCTTTGCTTTCATTTAGAAGGCAGCATGTTTCTTCATTGGGAAGCATGTATAACATGGCTGGGCAGGGAAAAGATCTCCAGATGTTTGGTACTTCAACTCTCAGAAGCCCCTGCCAGCATGGCCAATGGTCAGGAATTCTCAGAGCTGAAGGCCAAGTCATCTGGAGAGCTACTTTATACCCATCTCTGGCCTGATGGAATGAGGCCTTGTCTACATATTTAGAAGAATGGAGCAGGGGAGGAGTCTGCAGTGGGAGGACAGACTGTACCAGTTCATATTCCAGACGGGTGATCATACTTGAATGCCCTTCATCCCATGGACAGAAAACCAGCACATCACATGGCTCTGTATTCTTGCTGGCCTGGTTTTCTTTTTTAGGAAGGAGGTTGCTTTTTTCCTTTTTGGGTTTTTATATAAAGGAACGTTCTACATCAGAATCCATCACCTCCCATCTGCAGTAATATAATTCATGTAGAGGCTTTCAGGGGAAAAGGACATAACCCCCTCCCCCCAGCCCTGCAATATCAAAGGATGAAATTATTCTCAGCTTTCCAGGTGTCGGGGGCTTCCGATGACAGCAGAGCTCTCTTTGCAAGGTTAGCCTGCTCTGCAGCAAGCAGGAATTCCCTCCTGCCAGCTGCCACCCCACCCCACGGGTGGCACTGTGTAAAAAAGATTTAAGAAAAAGCAACCACTGCTGCCATTTAACCCCTCCCTAATCTATCAATAACCCCCAAGCCCAAAAGCCACATCCCTCCACTCAATTTGCTACCTGCAAATAAAGAAGCAAATTTGGCAGACAGATGTGGGGAGCGTTTTTGTTCAGCCCGTCCTAATCTACCGCCCCACTTTCTTGCATGTGTAGACTAGTTAGGTCTCATCAGGGAATCAAGAACATTGCACACCCCCCGCCCCCCCCGAGCAGACCTGCATCTTCACCACCCACTCAGTTTTTGGAAGACAGCCACAATCTCTTGATGCTTCCTCTGGCAATATGGAGAGATTACTTACTTGCCTACTTTGCAGGACTGTCATACAAAAAATAACATACAGTAGCATATTATGAAGTGCTTTGAGCATTCAAAATGGTGATACAAATTACCCCGTACAGTCTGAAAGTCAAGTAGTGGGGCGGGGTTGTAGGTGGCATACGGAGAAAAGGGGTGGCTTGATCAGATTTCAGTATTATACCAAGCTCCATGCCCTGCCCTATGGCTAGCAGTAGCGGAGTAAAATTATGCCCAATCACCATGGCTGAATTGGTACAGGTTATGGCGCTTTAGTTGTTTCAGCCAAGGGGAATGGGGTTCTAGCCCTCTTGCATAAGGAGTTCATAATCTATGTGCAATTTTTAAGAAGGGATTCTAAATTCAAGGGACAGGGTTTCTGCTGGATGGTTGGTGTGTCTTGTTTTGTTGATTTGCTGCACGGGCAAAAACGTGCACACAAACGATGGAGACAAAAAGAGGGGAAAAACACATTCCATATCGAGCAATGTGAAGAATGTGGTCCTGGCAGACAAAAGGACTTGTCTCAACTCGGCTTTGTTCTGCCAAAGCAGATGAAGGCCAGTGACGCAGACAGGGCTCAACTCTAGCTTCTCCCAAGAAAATATTTTTTTTACTCTTGTTTGCAATGAGTTGGGACAAAAGGCTAGCAAGGCATGGCTAAGTGAAGTGGGGACTTTTTTGGGGTCAGGGATATGACGATGCACTCGAAAGATTTTGAAGGCTATAAAATGACAGAACACAGATATTTTGGTTGGAAACCACCATACAACACTATTGTAGGAACATGAAAAGATACCTTATTCCAAGCTGAGCCACTGGTCTATGTAGCTCCCAGGCCAAGAATAGGAAATACATAGCCCCCCAGGGCTACTTGTGCAACAATTGTCTAACCCCTGCTCCCCCCACCACCCCACCCCATGCTGCAGGAAAAGAAAAACATGAGGATTCATCCACATGTGCCCTCTTTCCCTGGAGAACTGGGCTCCTGCCAGGCCACCAAACAGCTGCTTTGGGTGGCAGAATAAGGACATGCAGGGACGACACCTTCAAGAATCACTGTGATGGAACCAAAGTTAAAGCCTTCTCCCACTCCACCGCCACAATCTTCAGAGCATCGCAGTGTGGCACAGGGAAGGCGTTTACCATACCCTTCTCCAGCAAGACTACTCCCCCACCCCGGCCCCGCACTCCCAGTATGCCAGGAATCAGTGGCAGGGGAGTAAATCCGCCCCTCCCCCAGCCACTCCAGCTATCTGGATTTGGGGGGAGTATGTGTGATGCACCCCCACGGTGCCACCAACTCAGTGCTGCCTTCAATCCATGGAAATTGCTGTGCCCTCCCAGTTTACGCTGACCAGCAGCAGCTACCCAGGGCTTCAGACGGGGTACTGAGGATTCAACATGGAGCCTTTTAGGTGTAAACCATGTGCTTTGACACTGAGTTGGTTGCCCATCTGCAACCAACAGCAGTTAGCCACTAACAAAAGCCTAATTCTTGCAAACAGCAGGCCAGGAGATGGTCCAGGATGCTGCTGTGCTAAGAACAATGCCCCCTGTGACATCATAAATACTCAGAACTGCTGATATTTTTTTCGGGTGTTCACAGCACTTTGTACACATTGAGGTGATCCCAGATAGCTGCACTTTAGCCCCACTGAAATCAATAGGACATGAACATCATGACTGAGGTGTCAGTGATTTTTAATGGGACAAAAAGATGACTAATGAATTCTGGATGCAACCCTTTGAAAAAAATCTTTACATCACCACTGTCAGACATCATTACTGGCCCCATCTTGCTAATGCACTTGAGGCTAAATGAAAGTAACTTGTCAGCTAATGTGTTCATGGCAGAAGAATGAGGTTTTGTTCAGTCTGTGGCCTTCCAAAGGTTGCACCACTGCAACTTTACTGGCTTACTGCTTTACTGGTTCACAGAAAGTACAGTATCAGGGAGAACACTTCTAGCCAAGTCTTTGCCTCAACATGCTTAGTTTTCTGCAAACAGCAAGCGTGTCTGGGAGAGGTGGGAAGCATCCTCTCTTATGAGCCCTTACCTGCACCCTGAAGTGGTACAGTCCAGACACAAGTTTACTACCTCACCTGCTGCTTACAAGGCCAGGTTTAGGCTGGAAACAAAGAGCAGGGTTTGGAAATGGTCAGTCTCCCAGGAATAGCTGCTGGTGGAACTCTTTGCTCCTACCTTAGATAAATGTGTGACAAATACTTTACAATCCGAAAAGGGTGAATCCCACAGTGCAGAGCTCTCTGTCCTCTTCTCTGTGGCAGAGACCAAATGCTACAATACCTAACCATTCACCATACTAGCCAGGGTTGCAAGGAGTTGACGTCTAAAATGTCTGGAGGGGATTCTGGTTAGAAAAAGCTCTTCTGGATACATCCGTCCTCCCCACTCACCTCTGTGTTGGAATAGTAACTGTTCCAAGTAGACCTCAGTGTTTCCTGCCCACCGATGTCCCACATCAGGAAGTGTGTCTTGCGCAGGGTGATTTCTTCCACATTGCTGCCGATCGTGGGGGATGTGTGCACAACCTCATTCATTAAGCTGGTGGAAGACCAGACCAGTAAGCTGCTACTGAGCTCTCAATAACTTCCTGTCCATTACCCTCAAAGTAAGATGGGTTTGTGAAACACACAAGCTTTCTTCCCCACCCTACATCCATAATCGGAAGCATTCTGGAGACACCTGGAAATTTACAGCAAGGGTGGAAGGCCTCTGACCCTCCTGGGGTCAAATACCAGTCTTTCTGGATTTCCCATATGGCCATACCCTCTTCTCTGGGTTCTACCTCCATTCCTCAACCACCATTGATTTGATAGTTTCTTAGTGTTTAGGCTGTTTCCCCATACTGGATGGTTGAGATACCTAGGCTGTTATTTGAAGGCAGGATTTTGTTTTTTTGGCTCAACTCTCCACTGGAATGCAGCCCCCAAGAACTTCTCTGAACTTTAATTCAGCCCTCAGGCTGAAGATGCTTCTCCACCCTTGGGTAACAGCAGCAATAAACTTGCTTCAATGTAAGGTCAGTCGACAAAAGGCAGTCAAAATTGGTAGTAAAGTGAAGTAGCCCATGCCACAAACAGAAAGAGAAAATGAAACAATGCTTTTGGTTTAAGATCACACGAGATTTAATGCAAATTAAAAAGTAAATAGGGGCACAAGATGGAAAGCCCTCCTAAAGGGAAATGTGGGATTGACTTCCATCAAATTCCCTTCAGTTTTTCCTAGATTCCAGGATGCTGATGCTTCCTCAAGGAAGCTCATTTGTGGATCTTGCCTTTAGTTCTAAGGTTCATCAAAGGACACCTCCCTCCACTATGAATCATCCCACATGCTTAGATCATGTGCTGGAGTCCTGCTGGGGTGCCGGCATTAATGCCTGGCTAGCTTGGAGGACAGGGCAGATAGTTTGTAGTCCAGCAGTGCAATCCTACCTGTGTCTGCTCAGAAATAAATCCTGTCAGGATCAAGGGGACTTACTCCCAGGTAAACTGGTCTAGGATTGCAGCCTAAGTGGCTTTCTTCCACGAGAGCCACATTTTAGTGGGGGCATATTGAAAGGAACTTATTTACTTGAGTGTTAGTCATGTGGCAAGTTCAATCCCAATCTGTCTGCATTGACCTACCAGCTAAACCTTTACCTTTGACCATGAAAACAAAGGGAGCAGTCAAGAGGGCCAGTTTTGACTCCATGCCCAGCATAAACTTGCCCTCTCACAGCCATACCACTGAACCTAATTTTAATGAAGCTTTGAGGGCAAGCTCGTATTAGGTCTGCACTCACCCCAAAGCTTAAGCTGAAAAATCACAAAACTGACATTTGACAAAACCTCTACAAAATACTTTACCAAAAGTAGCAATGTTACACATTATGAAACAAATGGCTGGGTAGCATATCAATTTAACATTTTATGTTGCTGCCTGGAATATGTTTACTGGAGACACATGTTAGGCATAATACTAACTTGTGCTCAAAACAAGGATGTGGAAGAAGAGCAAGTCTATGCTGGTCAGGAACTAAGTCAACCATCTTGACCGCCACCCCTCGTTTCAGAGTCAAAGCTAAAATATATTACTTAGGCACACACAAGTTGGATTTGGCAGGTCAAGAAATACCCAGGCAAACAGTTTCTCCCCAAAGAGCCTCAAAACTTCCCTAATTAGTCCATTTCTTTGCAGCCGTACTTTAGCTGTGACTTTCCAAATGTGTTCAAGCAGCATGATCTGCCTTGGATTAAACCAGGGTTGCCTAACCTTTGGGAAGTTTTAGAGAATGTCAAGAGTACTCTCATAAAACAGCTGCCTTGGGGAAGGGCAGGCTTGTGTAAAATGGCTCTAAGGTTGGAGGAGGCTGGTCACAAAACTCCTTTTCTAGAAGGCAATCTGGTAAAACTAAAAGAAAAACAACATGTCTAAGAACGTGCTTTTCTGAACCCAAATAAAGATGGTGCTGGATTACAGCACTTTGCTTTACAGCATGTGAACAGCTGTAAAAACAGTTAGGATTTGTTTCCTTTTAATTACAAAAAATCTTAAGAACTCCAATAAAAATCAGGAGGACAAGGAGCCTGGGTGGTGCCAGTGGAGAAATCTAGGAGCACCATACTGGAGACACCAGTCCAACAGGGAACAGGCTTACCTGGCTGCCAGATTGAATATAAACTGAAATGTGATGCAGTGGGGAGAGACAGACAGACAAATAAAGATACTCACAACTGGTACAAAATGGTGGTTTTTCCAGCATTGTCCAAGCCAATAATTATAACTTTATGTTCTGCAGGGGAACAAAACACAACAGACATTCAGTCAGCCTTACGAAATAACAAGCAGAAATGCAGTTAAGGTTTCTTTATCTCTATAAATATTGAACTGCCGCTGCAGCTGTATAAACAGTGGCAAATTAAGCCTGAAGGGTAAGTCTTACCACAAACCACCAAGTGATCTTATGGCTGAAAAGACATCACTGGATTCATACAACACAATAAACCATGGTGGTTTATAAGCCAGGGCTAGCTGGATGTGTTTCCTGAACCCAGCCAGAATGGAAACAAATACGCTGCTGAATTCAGGCAACACAGCAAGCTGCCCTGGCTTATAAGCCCCTGCCACTTATCACATTGTATGAACCCAGTCACCACCTTCCTGTGCTCCAGTATTTTTATGCAAATCTAAAATGCATACTGAAATGCATTCAGGGACTCATTAACAGTAGACTGGTTCTAAGCTCCCTTGGCCTCCAAATTTTTGTCAAGCAGCTGATCTCCCCTACCAATTTCACCCTCCTTTCGGAATCAAAGGGCAGAACTGCTCTAACCTTTGGCTGAAAACAATGGCAAATTACAGAATCCACGTTCTTCATACCCTTGTGACACCTGAGCTGGTACTTCTGGGTGAAACAGATGGAGACAACCAAGGCTGGTGTCAAGGGCTGGCACGGCTGGGCACCTACTGAGGTTCCACACCTCACTGGGGGGCAAACTGACCCCCAACACCCTGGATGTACTCCTCCTCTTCAGCACTACAACCTGCCGGATCACCCATTTCTTTCTCTGGCAAGAATGAGAACGACAGCTGCCGGCACTTGCTTGGCAGGCAAGCTGAAAAGAGGAGGGTTAGGAACATCCCCGTGCGCCAGGTAGGGAGCATGCTGAGTGAGGGAAGGCCATCAGGGGTGTCCTACCCAAGGATGGAGATGTTGCTGGAAAGACACTGATGTCACAGCATGTGGTAGCAATCGTGCATTAACCAGTCCCTTTGCGCATCATTTCCTCGTTCCAATGACAGTTCAGCCATCTGTGTGGCGGGGGTGCCACAGGCCATATTGAGGGACTCCTCTGATATTGCACAGTCATGCTACACACTACATTTCCCCCACACCCCACTTCCATGAGGCTTATTTTGGTTCTGCTCACCAATATCAACAGAGCATGAATCCGCAGCCTCTATGATTTTGTTCAGAACTTTCCTATGGAATAGGAGAATTCCAAACATGGCCTCTTTCTTCCCCAGGAACACTCAAGTTTTATCATTTGCCTGTCACACCAAACCTCATTTAAAGCAGCACCGTGTGCCTCCTTCATTACTCTTACACAACAGGAAACTGCCCTTTGCTCCTGGCTGGAACAGCAGCAGCAGTAAAGAAGAAAGTACTACCCTCTGGGGCATTTCACCTACTCACACACCTGCTTGAAACTACCACCATACTGCCCAAGGGAGGGTTGCACTGGGCAACCCTGAATTCTCTTACATTTATATATCTGAATGCAAATGTCTGAGGGCCTCATTACTCACCAAGGGATCCTTCACTGCCCTGCACGTACGTACATTTTCACTTGATTGCCAACACTGGCGACCCTTACCTAACCAAGCTAGAAAAATGACAGCAGATGCTGCTCTTTGACCCAGGTCTTATCCCAAACTCAGCCTCCTCCCACTTCAGCGTGTCACTCTGCAGATCAGGCTTCCGTTCACTACATGGCATCCACATGCAGCCCTTTAATTTCCTCTAGATGCCTGACACTAGGCAGCCACCATTTTAATTTCCCAAAATGCACCTACATGGCATTCCCCCTGGACATTGTGGGAAATTTAATTGTCAGATGGCTGGCACTGATGGGTTGAGTGCCACTAGCAGGTAAGTCCACAATGACAGTGGCAGGGGGAAGAAATCACGGTATTATAAGGGAGCCACTGGAAGGCACCAAGCCAAGCAGCTGGCACCGTATCAGTCATCCAAAGGCTACGGGATTCATACCAGCCAAGCAATTCCCCACAGTCATTGTGTGGTTTGGAATGGGCACACGCACCATACCCAGATCTGCTGCTAGACTTACACATCCTCCTCATTCTTATGTGTCCATTACGTGATCAAAAAACACAGCAAATTCAGTAAAGTGCCACCAAAAGCCAGAACGACAGAAGGCTCCACTGATTCTGAAAAGGGTTTAGCGTCTTTCCCCACAACCAATACAGCAAAAGCAACAGAGCAGCGTTTGGAATGCAACAGAGGTCTGAAACCAGAGAAAGTTTTGCTTTTATATTTCTTTCTATGCTATGATATGGTAGTTGAGGTAATTGTGGAGAAACAGAAACAAATGGTGTTTCATTCTCCCCTTCCTCCACCCCCTTACACACTTTTGACCAAATATGTAACAAAGTACACAGAAGAAATCAGGACAAAAACAAACAAATTGTACCTAGTTATATGGGAGAGGTTAGAGACCAAGACTCCTTTAACTAACTCCCTTTCCCTTCTCCTGTGAGTTTTTGATTACTCGAGTACCTACTAAGTTTCAGGAAAAGTTTTGTTTTAAACTGCAAGCTGTACATCACTTCTTCCTATCGCTAGGCAAAAAATTCCATATATGGTCAGAAAAGGTAATAAGAATGACTTTTTTGCTGGCAAAGAGCCCTTTTTTAAAAGACTTGCTCCTTTTTTGATTAAGAACAAGGCTGGCAGCCTCATCAGATAAGAGTTAAATTGTGGAGAAGGAAGGAAGTCCTACGTAAATGTAAAGAAACACAATGGATGAATTTATTTTATACGTATAGGAGCAAATTCCAAGGCCTGTTCCACACAGTTTGCATTCATTCAAACTCCAGAGACACACGAGGACACTGTCATATTTGTGCATCATGTTGACCAAGAATGGACAACTTAGTGTCCTCCTGATGCTTTGGACTACAACTTCCATATACTCCTGCCAGTATGGCCGATGGTGAAGGATTATGGGAGCTTTAGTCCAAAACATCTGGAGAACACCAGGTAGCCTACCCCCATGCTAAACCCTTGCACTTAACTTTGGTTTGTTACATTATCTGAATCAACAAACTGTGGTTAAAACTATGGTTAACTTAAACCTTCAAGTTTATGAAACCAGCTAGCATTTTAATCACAGTTCAGGTGCAGACAGACAACACATCAAGCTGTGGTTAACCAAAAGCAGAAACAAAAGCTTCTGAACTACAGTTACTGGCCAAGCAAAGCAGGAAAGTACATAAGCCCACTCATTCCTGCTTAGGTCAGTGAAACATGAAACCACAGAAAAAGGTCATAGCCTTTGCACACATACTTGTTTATGAACATTAAAGCAGATCAAGGCTTTTTTAACAACATATACATGTGTTTGAGGGCAGACAGATTTATTACTGTGTTCAAGGTGTTCACACATTGATGCATTGACTTTGAAGCAAGTCAGTGCTTCAAAAACCAGTATGTGGATGCACCACATATGAGCCTTGAGCCAGAAAGTCTTGGGCTCTGGCAATAGTAAAGGACATCATGTGTGCCACTGAGCCTCCCATGCCCAGCAGGAATCCAAGAGGATCCCTGTTCCTACATTCCACTTGCCAGATGCCGTCTGGTATCCCCTTTCCATCCAGCAGGTCTCTGCACACCTAGGACAGGTGATCCACCTTGCCTTTATAAGCAAACTACATTTGCTGCATCAAAATACCTGTGTGGTGTTGTTGTTATTATTATTATTATTAGAACATTTCTATGCCGCCCCTTGCCGAAGCCTCGGGGCGGCTTACAACACAATAAAATACAATACAAAAATAACAAGATAAAATTAAAATTAATAATATAAAATAAATAAATAAATAATATAAACGATATAAAAGAAGTTATAAAAGTTATAAAAGAAAAGGAAAGAAAAGAAGTCGCCCTGGCCAGATGAATAAGTGAATATTGTTAACAATTAAAATGACATTTAAATACACACAGTGCTTGATACAGGGCACATGCATGAAAGTGCGATCAAGAACACAACACTGTGGATGTGGCATGTCTGGATGGGAATGTTGGAGTGCCTTTTCAGCCTGAGGGACAAATTCAATTCCAAATTCAGTTTCAGGGGCCACACTGCAGCAGTGCGCAGAGCTGGAGGCAAACTGGACCTGGCCAAAAATATACTATGTTCTAGCTCTTCCTGCTAAAAGTTGGGCTTGGAAGAACTTCAACCTTTCAGAATAAGGAAAAACTGTACAAAAGCCAGGAAACCACCCTGTGATGGGCAGAAGGGAGAAATGGGGGGGGGGGGGCGGCAAGGAAAGGGAGCATGGCCTTCTGGGAAATCCTGCAAGGCCAGGTTAAGATCCTGGACCACTCAGAGTTTATCCATGAGCCTGAAGACCAACACCCTGGCTGATTAATTTGCAAATATGTGCATATTCATACATGTTTGTGAGCATTCCTCACTGGATTTTTGTGTCAAAAAACCACATCCAAGAAATGCTCTTCTAACACATAGGCTCACAAGTGTTCTAGGCATGTGAAAAAACGTAACTGCATAACATGCATATCTCAAAAACCAAATGCTAACTCGTGAAAAATGCAGCAGGAAGTAAGAAAACAACCTCTTTCTCACAGGTCTTCATTCTTTTTGCCCCCTCGGATTTTTTTTTGAATTTTAAGCAAGACAAAAGGCTGCATCAACATAAAAGGCAGTCTGAGCAAAGAATGGAAAATGTGCTTACCACGGAACACCTGCTTGAGCAAATGAAATCTACCAAAGACGTGCACACTCTGCCCAACCAAAACTCTGTTCCTCCCACCCTTCCAGAGATCCAGTGTGAAGGTCTCCAATGCAACACACCAAAAGACATCCAAATTTCCCTAAAGCAAATCACCCAGTTGTCCACACCCAGTCGTCATTACCAGACTGGATTTAACTAGAATGTGCAGCATACAATGATTCATAGATCTGCCCCTTGATATGATTTTAGGTTAATTGAGAGCACATCGCAGTTTCAATCCCAAGCATCACCAGGTAGGACAGGAAAAATTCCTGTCTGACATCCAAGACCGCTGATGCAACACAGTACCCGTGTCAACAATATTCAGCAAGTTGGACCCATGGTCTGACTCAACATAAAACAGTTTTCCACCTTCCTATGTTTAGACCTAGCTGTCAAAGCACGTTGTGCATTCTCACCCAACCCTCCTTTTCTTTCTTCTGCTCTTCAACTTTTTTCTCATCTGTTGCTGCTTCTACTCCACCCCCACCACATACATCATCGAAATACAGACATAAAGCGCTCTTCCTAAACCAGTCCTTTCAGGTAATTCCCAAATGTTCTCCTTTCGGAGCTCAGATTGGTCTCCACGCTCCCAACTAATCAGAAAGAGGTTAATACACCGATCTTTAATATGGTCTTTTGAATTGTGCATATTGGTTTTCACATTAATGCGCTTTATCGCTTTTATTGGCATTGGCTGCCTGCATTCTTCTGGCTCAATTCAAGGAGCTGGTTTTAACCTATAAAACCTTACATGGCTTGGGAATGCAATACTTGACAGAGAGCCTCTCGTAGCCACAATCTCCCCAGACGTAACACTCTGCTTCAGGGGCCTTCCTCCAAGTGCCAAGCCCCACAAAGCACAGATGACAGCAGAGAGGGGGCTTTCCCTGTGGAGGCTCTCCCATCTATAGACTGACCTTGCCACTTAAGGCCACCTGTCACCAACCTTGCCATCTTTCTGGTGCCAGGTAAAGACAGCCCTTTATGCCAGGTGTTTAAAGATATACTTGGTTGTGCAAGGGCTTGAAGGGATTACCCTTCCCAGGTGCTTTATTACTGGTCATTCTTCACTGTATATTTTATGTGGGTTTTATTATTTATGTTTATTTTAATGAGAAGTTGTAGTATTTCATTGCATTTAATTGAATTATTTTATGTATTTTTGTAAACTGTCCAGAGAGCTTTGGCTGTTGGGTGGTATGGAAATGAAATCAATAATAATTTGCACAACACTTTGGCAACAATTGTGGAAAGGTTCTATATAAATATGATAAACAAATTGTATTCAGGGAATTTCGTCCTTATCAGACAGCCTTAAAATAACCAACAATAGCAATTTATGTGTTTAGCTTGGCACACTTGTATGTGAAGTGCTGTTCAGATTGCATGTCTTATGTATATCTCCTAAAATCTGTGAGGAAACAGTGGAGGATTAGGGGGCAGGGTGCTTTCCAAAAGTATTTTATTACATAATCTATAATATAAACAATCAGTTGCAGAATTCATGCATAGTTCCCATAAATATGCTCACGGTCACTACCCATTCACAAGGTACCTGTCTCCTCCCCCACCATAACAAAGCTGCCTCTTCCAATATACACAATTCAGGCATCACATACATTGTCAACTCTCATGTACAAGCCATATTGCACATGCAGAGAAACCACACAAAAACTATTCCTCCACACCAACCAATGATTTTGGAGTGTTGGTAAGGTCAGAGACCCAAATTTCACCCTCCCATATGGCATTAAATTCCTTGGAAGAAAAAGTGGAGGTGGGGGAGAAAGGATAAACATGTGAAGAGTAAAAGAAATTAAAGAAAACAGGGAGCAAAAAGGAGGAGCAACTTCACTAAAGAAAGAAATAACTCAAAGAGAACCAGAACAAATCCAAAGAGAAGTGGGGCAGCAGTTTGGCCAAAAAGCAACTGAGTGAAAAAATACAGAAAAAAGAAAGAATAAAAAAGCAAAGGTGCAAATGTAAAACATGGGGAAGAAGGGATGAAATGGCAAACAGCAAAAGAAGAAAATAATGGAAATTAACAAGAAAAATGAAAGTCACCCAAGAAAGAAAAGGCCCAAGAGAACCAAGACATACCCAAAGAGAATAAAGAAGAATAAGGAAGGGAAACATGCAAAAATATAGGAGGAAAAGTGAAAATGCAAGAGGGGTGCACAAAGCGCGGCAGGGGAGAAAGGACAAAAACACACACAGAAAAAAGTTAAGGGGGAAAATGGGAACTGATGAGCAAAGAAAGGAAAAACAAACAAACCTCCGAAGAATAGCTAAGAGCAAAAAATAGGCAAAGGAAGGGAGGGAAAGGCAAAGGAAGGAGGGAAAGAGAATACAGAAAAAGAGAAGCAGAGTATCAAGAGGGAAAGCAGGAGACATGTAATACGAGAGGAAGGGGAAGAAGAGAAAGGGTGCACGGAGGGGTGCACAAAGCGCGGCAGGGGAGAAAGGACAAAAACACACACAGAAAAAAGTTAAGGGGGAAAATGGGAACTGATGAGCAAAGAAAGGAAAAACAAACAAACCTCCGAAGAATAGCTAAGAGCAAAAAATAGGCAAAGGAAGGGAGGGAAAGGCAAAGGAAGGAGGGAAAGAGAATACAGAAAAAGAGAAGCAGAGTATCAAGAGGGAAAGCAGGAGACATGTAATACGAGAGGAAGGGGAAGAAAAACGTGCAAGATGAAAAGAATCTTACAAAGGGGGAGACGGCTGGGAACGAGAAGCAACAGAAAAGAGAAAGCGCAGATGAAAGTGAAGGAGAACCCAGCACAGACCCGAAAGGGAAAGAGGCTGAGGGAGAAAGGAACGAGGCAGAATGGAAAAGACAATAATGCAAAGTCAAGGAAACCAGGGTCGGGGGAGAGAGGGGAAGGAGAGAAAGGGTGCACGGAGGAGGGCGCAAGGCGCAGGAGGAGGAGAAGGGAGAGTGCGGGGCGAAGGGACGGGGGCGGAGGGGAAGCGACGGGGTGGGGAGATGGAGAGCAGAGAAGCTCGAAGCAAGGGAGCGCCGGCGAAGGGCCGGGAAAGCGAGCGACGGAGCCAGTGCGGAGGTGTCCTACCGCGGCTTCCGAAAATGTTCAGGAGTTTTGCGAAGAGCTGCCCCATCACGAGCCCCGCAGCCGATGGACACAACACGGCGCTCCCGCCCCCTTTTATAACCTCCGTGGGGACGCGTCAGCAGCCAGGCGCGCTCCGCCCACTAAGCCCCGCCTTTGGGGGGGGACACTTTCCCGCTGCGGGAGGGATCCCCTTTCATTACGTCAGAAGCGGCGGCGGCGGCGGCGGCAACCATGGAGCAACCTATAGATTGGGCAAGGTGCCCTGAGGAGACTGGGGCATGTAACTCCTGTCCTTCCTCTCAGGAAATCTTGTGAGGGACGGAACGCCAGTTATTTGCTTTGAAGACAGAGTGGCGAACGGGGGATTCTCCTGACCCTACTCCTATGTCGCCTTTCTTTCCGTTTTTATAATTTTTTGCATATTTCCATAAATCAAAATTAAACAACAGAAAAATTAAAGTATTGCAGGTTTCTTACATAGGATTTGAATATATCCATTACAATAGATATCTGCAGGTTGTGCTACTCGTCTATATTTAGTACATAACACATTATAGGTGCTGCTGGTGGGTGATTCCTTTGACCGGATGGGGAGTGTTCGAGATGGGTTCGCACTCCCCCTGGAGCAGCAGGTTCGTAGCTTGGGGGTGCTCCTTGACCCCATGTTTTTCACTCGAGCCCCAGGTAGCATTGGTGGCTGCCAGTTCTTTTTGTTACTTTTGGCTGGTGGTCCAGCTGCACCCTTATCTGGACAGAGATAGCCTTGCTTTTATGCTCTGGAAATCTCTAAATCAGATTACTGCAATGGACGCTACCTGGGGCTGCCTTTGAAGACTGTGCAGAATATGGCAGCCAGATTAATAACTGGGACTCGGAGCTCAGAATATGTAAGACCAATTCTGGTCCACTTGCACTGGCGACATGTATGCTTCCAAAACCAATTCATGGTGCAGGTCTTGACCTGTAGAACCTGTCAGAGCAACTCTCTCAACCCTGATCTATCTAGACACTTTGCTCAAACTCTGGGGCTTTTCTTCAAGTGCCACTCCTTCAAAAATTCAGGGGGGGGAAAGAAGGGCCAGACCCTTTTTTGTGCCCCCCCCCCCATCTTTGGAACAACCTCCCTGCTGTGGTCTGTCTGGTGCTAAGACTTTTCAGTGCCAGGTTAAGACAGGCCTCTTTGTGGGGGCCCTTAAAGCCTCCCTGGTCATTCAGGGGCCTGACACAATTATCATTATCACTAATAATTATGACAATTATTTCTTTTATTCCTGGCCAGGACTTTTTGTTGTCTTTTAATGTTCTTTTATGCTATTTTAATTTTAAATTCTTGTTAATATTTTTAACCTATTGTATTTTATTGTTTGTTGTAGTAAACTGCCCAGAGAGCTTTAGTTGCAGGCAGTAAAGGAATTATATAATAATAATAATAATAATAATAATAATACTTTGTGTTTAGGTATAATTATGCACAGACCTCCACAAAGATAGACTCAAGAGCCTTGCATTTGTCCATTCACAGAGTAAACCTAAAGGTTACCCTTCAGACACTGAAAGCATATTATAAGAATTAGGGCTGGAAGATATCTGAAATTTCACAATTGTCCCCATCACTGCCCAAGAACCCCTTGTTTGAATTAGGCCACAAGATGGTCATTTAAAAATTCATTGGAAATCAGACAAGATTAACAGCTCATACCTATGCCCTTCTAGAGAGAGAAAAAGAATGCTACAACTCCCAGCATCCCCCAGCCTACAACTTCCAGCATGCTCCAGCCTGAGAGAATCCCTCAGGATTCCCAGCCTTGACAAATTGAAAATGTAGGAATAATCTTGCAATAAATCCAGATGCCAACACATTCCTTGCATTAATTCAGACGGCGCTACCCATTTGTTAGCCGTTATGGTGTCAGAAGTCTCTGTTCTGCTTTTGCTGCAACGGACCAATACAGCTGCCCTTCTGGATTGGCCACAACAACATATGCATTAGCCCAGGTGCCACAGCAAAACTCAACAGTTTGCATATTCTTACAAAGGAATATGTGATTCTGTGGACTGAAAAATGGTGTATCACTAATATTTATTATATTCTTATTTGTAGCACTATATTATAATAATACATAACATTAAAGGCCCAAGTGTATGCAAGTTTACCCAGAAATAACTTCCACAGGGGTAAAAATAAATATTGCTGTCTTCAATGGGGTTCAGTTCCAAATACTTGTGTATTTATCTATCTACAGCTGAGCTGGTCTAACAGAAGAAGAAGTTTTTATCTGTCTTGTTAACAACCCTTTGGGGCCAAGACAACAGCTGCTGTCCGCTTGCTAGCGGTTCAAAAATTGTCAGTAAGTTTAAAAACCTCTGGAAATCTGGAAAATGACAGTGCATAGAATCCCACAGTTTTTCTTCCTGTTCTTTATTGAACAGAACAGAGTGGTTTTTTTTGGCAGTCTTATTCTTACAAGAAGAGAAGGGGATAAACATTTCCTCTACTTGTAGATATGATGGCTTATATTTCCCACTATTCTTTGAAGGAAGACCATATAAAATCACATGTAGATAAGTAAACATGCCCTTCTTGCTGGCTTACTGCCTGTCCTCATGCTCTAGCTA